GCTGAAAAGAATAAGGAATAATTTCAAAAGGAAGAGGAATGTGAGTTGTGTGTTGAAGAACGGAAAAAAAATTGAAGAAATATATGTAGTTAAAAAATGGAGGAGACAATCTGGGCAGAGAGGTTGGTACGATCAAAGGAATGAAGACTAGAAGGATGGCATGTGGGAGGAATGGCAAGTAGTTTAGCCTTACTGGAACATAAAATGCTAAGCACACAGAAGGCGCTCAATAAATTTTTGCTGAATGAAGGTCTGCTGAATGAGTTTCCCAGAAATCAACGTACTGCCTGTATTGCCAACCTAGGAGAAACAGGGCTACCACTGTATTAAACTGTAGCAAGTACTGTGGCTTGTACTTTTCAAGGGTCAAAAGTAGAGGTGGTTGATAGTAGATTCGAATAAGATTTGTTAACATTTATGTTTCCAAACTCTGCAAAATAGTAAGCTCTTTAACCTGTCACAGGATATACTCTTAAGTGATTAGGGATAGGGTGCTAATTTCTTTTTTACTTAAATATTATATTTTAATTTCCATCAGGAGAAATTGGTTTTATGTTCTGGGCATTCTAAAAAAAAATCATTCACTGAAACAAACAAACAAACAAAAAATGTTCCATTGGAACAGAATTAGAAACTAAGATTAAGCCATTAATACAAAATATAATTTTAAAAACAGCCAAACAACTATGATCAGTGTAAACACAAGTGCTTCTATTGCATGTGGTAAACTCTTGCATGATCATGTGAAAATATCAAAAGAACCAAATAACAGAGGAAGAGTAGTGGATCATTTTTTGCTGAGTTTCCACCTTATTAGATGTGAGTAATGAACATGTAACTTCTTGTACATTTTCACAGGAACTTTGAAATGAAAACTTTGAAATAAGCTCATTTGGGGAAAGCATTCAACTTGGTAAGATTTATATCTTTTTACTTTAAAACTTCTGTGTATTGTTCATACCGACAGCTGGGGAACTTCTCATCCCTGAACTGCAGTGCTGCTTTGCCCCTTTGCTCTTTAGACCTCTCTGAACTTTCCCTGGAACTCATTTCCAATGCCCTCCTCCTCCATCCCAGCAGGGACAGATTAAGTGAATAAGACAGGAGAGTGCCAAGGGCAAAGTCACCCAGTTAGGTCCCACTTGAGATAATGAACTCATGGACCACATGTTCCTTATGTTGCCACAATAATACCATCTCCAGGGCCAACCCTATGCCAAGGTACCCTTTAAAGCCAAGAGCAAGAGCAACAGACTTTACTTATGGTGGATCTCACAGCAATACTGAGATCCCCTCTGCTGGTTCTCACATAGATACTTTTGCATGGTGTGATTAGCATTGCAGGTATATATGTTTTTTTAATTTGCTTACATAATCTAGGCCTAATGGTTTGCATATGATATATATGATATATTAACTAAGGATATTTTCCCTTCCACTTTGTAATTGTCATAATTATTATCTTGTCTATCTTTAAAATTACTTCTCCACATAAGACCTTTAAAGGAAATGGAGTGCATCAGAAAGCTTTTAGAAATCCTGAAATACTTAATCTGTAGTTTCTTGCTGTCTTACTGCAGAAAACAAATAAGACAGGATCTCAGCTGAAATGAAACAAGTTTTTTATTTTTACTTCTGGAAACCAAAAAGCCTGTGTCGTAAAATAGTATTTACAATTTAGAAATTAACAGGTGAAGTACTCTTGAGTTACAATAAAGATAAAAAAGAAAAACACACACACACATTTAAAATATTTGTTTTGGAGGCCATCCCTATAGCCTGGTGGTTAAGGGAGCTACTTCTTGCATGTCCAACTGTGTGGTACCAATCCCTATCTCTGGCATTAGAAGAGAAGGGATTGCAGCATGACCACATCCCATTGGGAGGTGCCTTCTCCCTCTCCCCCTCTCTGTTGCTCTTTAGTAAGCACAGGCACTCTCTGGCAATTAAAAAATATGTTAATTGATTTTAGAATATTCAATCAAAAAGCAGATATTCTTTATATTTTCTGTCTATTGGTTGGTGTATTATCTATCCTGTCAACCAAACTGTTCATATAGAGTAAATGTAGCTATGGTGAGTTTCTTAACAAACTACAAAGTTGACTGCTTTTTTCTTTTTTATCATTTTTTTTTTTAGAAGTTTTTGCTATATGGTGCGTGCGCTCTCCAGAAAGACAGAGGGAGACAGAGAGACAGAAAGCGAGAAATCACCTTCCCCCTCCCCCGGCCACGCTGCAATTTCTTCTCCATTCTCCTCTCAGAATCTTGGACACACATGCACACGTGCCCGGCGTGGTTTAAGTCACAGGGTCCAGGACTCAAACCGCGGTCAACTACATGGGAGTCCAGCGACATACCATTACGTTAACTGCTTGTCCCTTTACTGCTTTTTTCTAGACGGTCTTTATTGGAGATCTTCATTGTTCCCATTCATGACATACTTTCTAAATACAATTTACATTTAGTGCCACAGACATTAAGTGAAATTTCCATGTTAGCTTTTTGGTGCTGGATCTCTATGGTCTTTAAATAGAAATAAGACAGGGTTACTTGGCAAAACTGTTCTTTGGATCATCTCTGGGATAGCCATTCTTCAGAAAGCAAGTCCCTGGCTGTGAAGACCTTGCACGTACAGAGGACAGGATAATGCCGTTGAGTTGGCAAGCCTCCCCAGTCAGACAGACTAAGGTGTGAAGTGCAATAATTAATTGGGATGTTTCAGGCAGCAAACCTATTAGTCAGATATTTATAGGAATCATGGGGTAGGGGTTTTTTGTTTGAGTTATTTGATAATTACATTCAATTTTATTTTGGCTATGAAAATGTGCCAATAGATACACCAGATTTGGGTCATTTTGGCCTGAATGAACCATCCAGCTCTGTTGCCATAGTGAAAGATTTAGGAAATATGCACTCAACTGATGTGTGAGGATAGGGGATTTTGAATTTATTTTTAAATCCTTGAACACATGTAGGCATTTTTCCCCTCTCTCAATTATACCTTTCATTTTTCAGGGATTATAACCACAAGAAATATGTCTAAATGAAGTAATTACTGACCTTAAAAAGAAGTTGGTGAGACAAAGCGTGACATCATAACATGTAGCACTGACGGTGACTAATGTATTTAATTTCTTTACATCAACATGAATCTCGTAATTTCTAGGAACAAATCTGAAGATATACAAGGGAAAGTTAGATCACATTTTTGTGGAATTAAGACACTACGCATATTATTTGAAAGAATGAACCAGATTTATCAGTGGAAGTCTAAGGTTCTCACTCATGAAATACTATACTAGCATAGAGAGACTAAAACAATATTTCACTTAGGAGAAAAATAAATAAATAAAACTAACATTATGCTGAGAAGCCAGTCAGGAAAGGCCTCATATGATATGATATAATTTATACAAAATGTCCAGTATGGGCAAATTAATAGAAGCAGCAAGTAAATTGTGCTTCCTTAGGGAGGGAGGATGGGAGTCTGAGAGGAGCAATGTGTAAAGAGTGCAGGATTTCTTTTTGTAATAAAGAGAAGATTCTACAATTTCCTGTGACGATGGTTGCACATGTCTCTGCATACACTGAAAAATCTTTGAATTGTACACTTTAGGTGAATCATAAGTTATGTGCATTATTTCTCAATAAGGATGTCTTATTAAAACTTTTAACTTGTGTGCACTTCCTATTTAATCATCCACTATTTTTCTCCTCTGAAGTAAAAATGTTCTTATAACCCCATAGGTTTTAATAGACATGCCTGGGTGTTTACCCAATTCTCAACTTCTAGGTGGGACTGGTATGAGTAGGTGGGAAAAATGGGAGTGGTTCTTTCTCCACAGGACTCTGATTTTAGCCCAAACAGTTACACAGACATCAAAGAGCACCCCAGGACAACTAGGACAGAACAGCTGCAGGCTCCTTTGATCTCTGCTCAATAACCTCTTCATCACATTTAGTGTCCCTTTCAGTCTGGAGTACTTTTTGAATCCCTTCCTTCTAGGAAAGCCTATAAGCTGATGCTGGTTACCAAAATGTTTTCAACAAGTAAGAGATCCGCACTTAAAAACATTTTCCTTTTGGACGATGTGTGTTCTTTATACTTAATGTTCGAGATCTTCTCATTTTTTAAATTAAACTTTATTATTGTATTTTGAAATTGATTTCTGGTTTACAAATAACCACTGTTCATATTTGTGGAGTACAGTACGGCTTTCAAAACATGTATATAATGTGCAATACTCAAATCAAGGATATAGCCATATCCATTGTTTTAAGCCCTGGATATTACATAATGTGCACATTTGATAATAGTTCTACTGGTTTTGTTTTGTTGTTTTGTTTCCTTTATGGACATGCATACTGAATTGTCAGCGAAGTGCTTCCTTTGCTTGGTATACAGTTCCATAACCTAGTCTACTTGTTTATATGCATTCTTATGGAATTTGAGTTTCCTCTTTCTGGTAGAAACATTTCTATCTGCTGTAATTGGGCTGCAATTAGAAAGAAAACCTTGATAATTCAGTACTTGGGCCATTTAATTCTTTTGTTTCTTCAGTATTTAATCATTCTATGGATGTTGTTCCTTTATAACATAAATTAGTTGGAGGGAGGAATTTTCAAATCTGACAGTTACCAGTGCTAATAAAGAAATTGGTTGGGAAAAAAAAAAACTGAGATAATTGCTTATTTGAAGATTTTGATTTATCATGTTCCCATGTTCTGTAGCAAAACAATTACAGTCATGGTTAGGATTTTATGCAATTGTGGACCTTCTGTTCAACATTTGGTTGTGTTTTCTGAGATGTATTTGTTCAAAAATATTAATATAACCGATTTTATAGACACTTCACTTAAACTCTTTTCATTTTATTTAACCAAAACTATATTAAGTATTCACTACAGAGTGGACACTGTGCAAGGAATCCTATGAGTATTTTAAAGGAGGAATAAACAAACACTCAGTAGCAGGGAGTCCTCCAGTGGAACAGACTGAGCTGAACTCCCCCCAAAGACCCTCTCATACAAAGAAAAATGTGATGTGCAATAGATGATTAAATATATAGAAGACAGAGTTCTCCAAATATACTGTTAGCATGCCAGTTTAATAGAAAAGGTAGAATTTGAGGAACTCAGTACTTTGTGCAAGAATGCATTATGCAGACAGTATCTCAGGAAGTTGAGTAAACTTAGGCATTGATTTATCCCCTTGTATGTTCATATGAAGTGAAGTACCTGTGGATTTCATGTGGTCAATGTTAAATTATTTACCAATTTTGTTTTTGGGGGGACCATATGGGAAAGAGGTGAATGCAGTCATGTCCATTAACTTTTTACCTTATTTGCTTTTTTGTTGTCATAAGTGCTTATGATAATAGAATATAATCAACAAGAGAAATGTGTTATTGCACATTAATAAATGCAACCAAATAATAAATATATTTATTTACTTTTATATAATATAGTGCCATGTCTTAAAAAAACAATTATAAAATGGATCATATTAATCATTTTCTCTCCTGGTGGGCTTATAAAAATGGATTTTAGTGCTCAAGAAATTGGCTTATTAATATGTGAATTTGGTGTTCATTTCAGACACCTTCCTGGAAGTCTGACAAGGCGAAGCCTATTTATCATAAGTCCCAGCAGCCCAGCACTCCTCCTCCACGACATGCAGCACCCTTATGATTCCTGATCAAAGTTTGTTTTACTTTTCTTTTTTTTTTTTTGGAGAGGTTTTTGCTATAGGGTGCGTGCCCTTGCTAGACAGAGAGAAACAGAGAGACAGAAAGCGAGAAATCACCCCCCAGGGGGGATGGCCACGCCACAATCCCTTCTCCTCCATTCTCCTCTTGGGATCTTGGGCACGCATGCACACGCACCCGGCGTGAGTTTTAAGCCACCAGGTCCTGGACGCAAACCACGGTCAACTACGTGGGAGTCCAGCGACATAGCCATTACGCTAACTGCTGGTCCCTCGAAGTTTGTTTTCACAGCTAAACTGAAAGCTCTATGAGGACAGGGCCTTTGTCATTACTGCACACCCAAAGTTATCATAGGTCAATAAATATTTCCTTAGTAAAAATGTGGAGAACAATTCTCAAAGTGTGGCAGAATTATCTTAGTTTATATAAAAGTTCAATGTATTTATTTTTTCTGTGACATAAACACACTTTGCAGACTTTTCTTCAGAATTATTTTTATTTATTTATTATTACTGTCTTAAAATTTGCTGTAGAGCATTTGTGCTCAGCCGAAAACAAGAGAGAAAGTGAGAAAAGAAGCTGCCAGATCAAGGATAGAAACCACGGTTGGCCAAGTCCAGTGCCTTAACCACCATACCACCTGACAGCCCCTACTTTGCGGACTTCTACTGAGTAATATCCCACAATGCACAATCCTACTCCCTATATATATGAAGGCACTTCTAAAAGTTCATGGAAAAATAGAATTAAAGAGCGAGTTTATTTTGGTGTAAAAAAATGTGAAATTCATATGTGGTGTTTTTTGTTGTTGTTGCTAATTTATTTACATTCCTTCATTGTACATCTCTGTAACTCACAATATGGTTGTTTAAAGTATGCATGCAGTGCATGACAATCAAATCAAGCATATTACCATATACATTCTTTACATTCTTTTCAACAGAGAACTTTGCCTTTTTCTTTTTCTTTTGATCTGTTAAAGGTTTCTTTTTTCTTTTTTTTTTTTTTTTTGGTCAGAGGGCATTCACCAGGAGAGAGACAGACAGTAAGAGAGAGGATGGCCGTGCTGCAATTCCTTCTCCATTCTCCTCCTGGGATCTTGGGCACACACACACACACACACACACACACACACACACAAATACCCACACTCCTAGAGTGATTTTCAAGCCACCAGGTCTGGGACTCAGACTGTGGTAAACCATGTGGAGATCCCGTGCCTTAACAACTATGCTACCTGCTATTCTCCAATAGTTTTTAAATAATAGATACTTCCCATAACTTTTTGGAAGAACCTCGTAAGTGTATTTATCTTCAACCTGCAGGCCTTACTCAAGTATTTAATGGAAAAATGCCTTAGAGAAATACAATATCTAGAAAGACATTCTCTGGGCTGGGATCTGGTAAACAGAAAGAATTGTTTACTCAGGGTGGCTGAAGCACAAAATAGTATAGCCAGAATCATTGTCCAGAAAGAGACATAGTTACAAAGAAATTGTCCTGGGGCCTGCAGATGGGGCAGGGTTATGGCACTAGACCTCCCTCTTGGCCAACTGCAGTTCAAGTTCTGGACCTGGCAACTTGAAAATCACTCTAGGGATGCTGGCATAGTAATTAAGGCACTAGACTCCCACATGGCAGACCACAGTTTGAGTCCCAGACCTGGCAGCTTGCTGCCTCAGTTTCCCTTTCTCTCTCTCTCTCTGTCAAATGAATAATAATAATAAATAAATAAAATTAAATAAATAATCCTTAAGAAAAAAAAAGAAAGAAAGAAAATCACTCTGGGAGCGTGTGTGTGGGTGCCCAAAATCCCAGGAGGAGAATGGAGGAGCCGGGATTGCTGTGTGGCCATCTTCTTTATGGAGTTGATTTCTCACATTCCTTCTCACTGTCTCCCTCTGGAGAGTGCACATGTCCTCCTACAAAAACCTAAAGTCTCTTCACAATCTAAATGATGTATAGGGATTTAATGTATGAATAATAATAAAAATATATAAATAGATAGATAAAAAAACAAAACAAACAAACAAAAACAAATTAGCTGTCCTCCATGACTATGCTTAAGATTATCCAAAAGCAAGAAATTTATATAATAAGCTATGAATTCAGAGAATTTAATAAAGGAAGGAGTTTTGAATAAAAGGCAAAGTACAATGATGTAATTCGAGGCCTTAATTGGCCACGGAATACTGACAGCCTTTTAATATAGTACCCAGTAAGGAAGTATGACTAGCAGACACTGTATACAGCCAGACTATTAGCTGTAGTAATTCTGCCTTATTTGTGTCTGAATTTCTAGCTCTTTGCACAGTCATTGAGTATAAAGTAGATACCATTATGTTTTATTGAATTACTGGATGAATCAATGAATCTTTTATATTTCAGACAATTTTGTCCTATTGGTTCTACTAAATTATTTTATCTTTCATTGAGCATGTTTCCAGAACAATTTCACATTTTGAG